AAATATGTAGAAAAAGTACGAAAAGATTGTCGCCGCTGTGGGAATCGAACCCACGTTTTCGGCTTTCGCGGCCTGACGCGTTAACCACTAAGCTAAACGGTTGATAGCCACACCGACGAAAATCTTAACGTCTTTTATCTACATTGGTTTTTAGCATTTTAAGCAATGCTTGGCGCATCCATTGTTATATCCTTTCCAGCATACAAACAATTTCGAATATCGTTTTACAACGATAATTCGAACGAGAGATGTCGCCATTACTTTTTTAGAAATTTAAATTGTTTATAGTGCTAATCTTTGCATTTAAGATTTAATATTAAAATATGTAGAAAAAGTACGAAAAGATTGTCGCCGCTGTGGGAATCGAACCAATTGTATATACTTAATTTCTATCAGTGCATTTTTAAACTTTATTTGAATTTTAATTGATATTGTTCTGATTGTTTCACCGAACATATAAGAGATAGTAATAGGAGGGAAAATCGATGGTTTTAAAACAATTGTTTGAACTTCTTAATTTTCAAGTAGCCAGAGAAAAGAAATTCATAAATACTAAACGATACTCTTATATTTGATCTATTCAGGCAATTTTTATGATTAATACACACGTATATGTTGCAAAAAAAAAAAAAAAATAAGATTTCAACACATTGACAACTGGAACTCTTCACGCGTTGAACTCTAACCACTGAAACTTTCCACGACATTATCATACTATGTTTCTTCTTTTCAATCATACTTACATGAACAAAGCTTTATGTTATATACTCATATAAATTATCAGCTTCATAGCTTATTTTTGTTTATATTACAATCCGATTGAAAAATATAGGGATATTGGAGGTAAAGATAGAGCTATTCACTTCTCATCTACGTTATGGAGTTTCGAAGACAGCAAGTGGTCAGTTCGTCACCATACATAGAACCTAACTGAAGAGTTGAATTTGGCGCATATGATATTTGACTGAAGTAGTTCGTAGCTTCAAGCCACAGTAGAGAATACCATCCGTGTAATACCTACGAATTCCGATTGTGAATCGAACGGCGAACACAGCTCCTGTGTAATTTATTTTATCATTAAACAAAGTTTGTTCCGTAGCGCTTAATTTTCTACTCTGGAATGGAAAATTTAAATGTACCATATAGTATTTTTGAACCGTTTTGACTTCAGTCTTCGCCTCGATGTTGCACGCATGGGCAGGTCCGTCCGGGGAAGTACCGCAACCTCACAAAAGGGCGGCGTGAATTTGAAGTGTTATATACTTCTGCGTTTCATCTGGTGTGAGTGCCTCAAGCACCAAACGAAACGCAAAAACTGTCCTCTTTATTAAAAGGACGCACCGGGGCCTTATTTACGCTTATTTAAAGGTCGCAAAGCATCTGAAAGCCTACGGCTGTTGCAAATGTCCATGGGCGGCAGATATCACTTCACATCAGGTGAACCGGCAGCTCGCTTGTCACTTTCCCACATAAAAAAGCACACACAAATCATAAGAAGGAAAATGTAATAGCGGTACAAGGGTACTCCAGGGCATTTACGGTCGATAACTTTTGAGGTGGTAAAGGAAAGAAAAAATGCGTTAGCGACGTTGACGACAATAGCACTTGTCTTCACTCCAACCTCGAATCCGACCTTTTTGCGGCTGATTTAATCGTTTCATACTTTCACGTGATACACCCCTACGAGTTGAGATGTGTCCAAACGTTTCACGAATTATAGCAAGCACAGTCGAGTCAGGGGAAAAGCCTCGGGACTGTTGTATTCAATGAGGATCAATGGGATCCTCGAGCACGGGAATTAAAAAAAAATTAAATTACGTAAAAAGTTTATTTTTCTGTAAAATGTTAATTACGTTTTATTAAAAAAAGTACACAAAAAAGTCTTTGTTCTGTGGGGGGAGGCCTAATTCAACAGTGACTTCAAACAGGCTCCTTATTTACCCACAAATATCTTTTTATTTTAATCTTTTCAAATGCCGCTTTTAATACTACTTTTTAAATCTATACATGAATTTTAAGTGACCCTTTTTCCTTTGTCAACTTTTCACATTGAAAAAAGTCTTCAAGTAGCTTATATATAAAAATAGCTTATGTACTACGCTTATGGCAATGTAATCAATAAAATAAATTCTGCTTGATTAATTATATTCGTCAAACAAGCCATTCATTGTTTAAATGTCTATCAAGCAATTTATATAGATGCAAAATGTATTTTTTTTGTGTGAAAAATTGCCAAACGAGCAGACGGTTCACCTTGAGTGAAAGCCGCCGCCCACGGATAGCTACTGACGGATGCGTTATGAAATTATACGCGAAAGTTACATGGTGTATGGAAATTTCTTGCAACGTACTCGTCTGACACCATGTATTTAATTGAAATACTTGGTCACCGTATATTATGTGAGTATATACAAAATACACCACGTGATCTAGTCCCAAACTAAGCAAAGTTTGTTTTAAACTAGATACCTGATAATTATACCGGAATGTACTTTTGTTATGTAAATAAATTCATATCATAGACATATAAACACCCAGATGTACTATCGAACAACAATATGTTCATCACAAAATATTACTTTACAAGTGGTTATTGGATCTGGTGTGGGCTCGCTTCTGGCGTAAGAGGCAGTTTCACTATCCACTAAGTAAACGGATCAATGGTAAATGATAAAATGCTAAATCTAGGATATAATAAAGTAAAAAGTAAAGTTACAGCCTATACATGTCCCACTACTGGGCAAAGGCCTCCTCTATACAGAGGGTATCAGGGCATAGTCCACCACGCGGCCCCACTGCGGTTTGGCGGACTTCACATATCTTCGAAATATTTTTTTTTGTTATTATTTCGAAAATATGCAGGTTTCCTCACGATGTTTCCTTCACCGCGGAGCACGTGATAAGTCAGCAATTAAGTTAAAAACTTCATTGGTGCCGGCACCGGGGATCGAACTCAGGTTGCTCGAGTATATTGAATTAAAGGCGAGCGCCCGGACACGGAGCTATCACGGCTCGAGAGAAGATATAATGCTTCCTTGTATTTACAAAAATACACGTGACCACAAGTTAGATCACGGATTCGGAAAAATCTGAGAGTGATTGGTTTTCTAAATGAATTTAAACCGCGTTATGAATTTTACTTTCGTGCGATTTAGTCGAGTGGAGTCAATGAAATTAAAATTCTATAGATACTATATGAATGACATAACAAGAAAGATGTAATATCTGCCAAGCTTTATTAATTTACATTATATAAAACAAATACGTAGAAAGTAGGTATTTTTGTTGCTCAGCTTAATTGCCAATTTCTCACATTGGTGGTAGCGGGCGCTACGATACGAGGAAAACTCGAAATGCTTATTTTAGTTTAACTATTGTGATCTAATAAATCGTTCTTTGACTCTCGTTATGTGAATGATGTTTACGGTAGGCTTTCGCATGAAGTTTATCCAAAAAGAAAAGCCAATAGTTTCAAGCCAAAAATTCTTTATACAATATATGATGCAATTCTCGTCGGAATTTCAAAAACAATATGTTAGAGATAAGAGATAAACAAGAGATATATCACAATTTTGTAAACTGTTTTATATAAATAATAAATTGTATATACATACAACTGCTGTGGGTAGCCATTATTACAAATCTTACTTATGATATTCAAAGAACATAACTCTAATTGTAAAATCATTACCATGAGCAAAATTGTATAATTAAACAGCTGTTGTCAATTAAAACAACCACAATAGTAAATTATTCAAATATCAAATTCATTCAAACTGACCTTCGTGCATTCTTTCATAAAAGAAAATCGTGAAAAAGTATAACGCATAACAGCCTTCGAATTCGCCAGGTGTGCCAAGCTGGTTCAATCAATGGCTGGGAGTCGACTCATTGTGTCGTGGAATGAGTGAGTTGATTGTGAGTTGAGTGACGAATGTTTGCGATAATCCTCCTAGAACAGATGTAGGTCGACGACGAGCGAGGTTCTTATTCGCGAATCGGTACAAGTGGGGATCAGCGCTGAGGCACCTTTCGAGCGCACGCCGAAGCACTCTAGGAGTTATATCCGAAGAAACCGAATTAATCGTTTTCTAATTCGCAACGACACTGTATCCGTGGACGGGTGATTTAGTTCGCACGATCAAGTAATAACCTACGTATTTCATTTCATTTCTTTTTTTTTTTCTTTTAAAACATAGCCCTTAACTTAGGATAACATTACACTGTGTTGTAAGGACGTTTTACAAACATAAATTGCACTGCATTGCTTGCAATTGTACATGCATGTCTACCTGATAGGTAAATTCAGTCGGTTACAATGAAAATGAGGTAGGTAATTTTTTTTGGGTTTTTATGAGTAATCAAACCAAAGTTTAGTCTGCAATAATATTTTTTTATGATTTTTAACGACTTTAATATGTTATTTTAATACTTTTTTATAGCTAACACGTTTAACAAAATTGTTATTTCATAGAAAATGTCTGTGTATTTCAGTAGTTCAGCTTTCAAGTATCATAAATTAGAATTTAAATATCAATATAAAATTTAATACCTTAAAAATCTTGAATTATTATAGACTTGATTTATTTTTTAGGTAACTACCGTACTACGGTAAGTACCTAATAAATTTTCGACTGGTTAATAAATAGTTTTAGATTTTATTTTTTCTTTTACATACGACATCCGTGTAACTTGGAATCATAAATTATAATTAATTCATTAGTTAAAAACATAAAAGAATGAAAACAAAAATAATCATCTAAAGTAATAAATAATCTGAGTGAAACGTGTGACTGCATGAGAGATCTCTGTTTAATCACCATGAGTTTAAACTTGCAAGAATGCCATTATTCATAAATAATCCACATCAATAACTGACAACGTATTTTCCAATGCGATCTCAAATAAATTTAAAATAAAAAAAAACCTCCTTTTCTAACAACCTATTCTCGTTATTTGGACGGATAACTGGCAATTCTAAAATCGAATGCGACTCGAAGCGAGCGACGAGGCGTCCATACAAACTGGATGTGCGCTTGCCGAGTGTAGAGCAGTTGGCAATCGGCAAAGCGTATTGCGGCGCGTGTGAGCGGAGGGGAGTGCGCGGATCTGTCGCGATACCGCTAACTAAAGATTTCCGCGGGGACATCCGCGCTGGCTCCCCCCGGCTCCCACGTGCCGCGGCTGCGGATTCGACGAAACGCGCGAGGTCCGTTGTTCTTTTTTTTATGTGAAAAGTTGCCAAACGAGAGGACGATGGACATCTGCTACACCCGAGGGTTACAGATGTGTTGACAACCTTTTGAATTTGTTTCGGGGAATTCGAAGGCCGCTTTTCGAGTATTACTGGGTTGCAGTACGCAGCTGCTTATGCTGTTGTATAAATTGAAAGGGACGACGTCCGGAGACATGGCCTTATAGGAAACCGGAGCAAAGCGGAAGTATATATTTTCAGGTCTTGTTCGGTGTGTAAGGTGATCGGGGCCTAGTTTTTTAATGGTTGGGAACGCCTTTGCAAACCCTCATACGCTGTAAACATTCGTGGGCAGCGATAATCACTTAATATCAGTTGAACTGCCTGCTCCGTTGCCAACTTTTCACATAAAAAGTGCACGTCGTTGAACGAGTTTTGGCAAGGTGTATAGTCTGTAGAGCATGTGGCATTATTCCTAGATTTTTGTATTCAAATGAGTGTGTCATATTGCTCATAGGAGTTTGAGATTGTGGTAGGGCATCGCAGCAGCTACCACTGTTGCACGAATCGGCTGGCTCGTCTGGGGAAGTACCACGGCCTCACAGGAGAACATCGTAAAGTGGAAGTGTGATGACTCTGATGAGTGAGGTAAAGTGTCGCAACCGCTCAGGTGTTCCTGATGTTGCTTGTTACAGCGGATCGGGTGGACCACCTCCTTCATCATCACCATCATTTCAGCCTGTTTCCATCCACCACAGACTTCCACGTTGCACTATCCTGACCCACCTGCATCCATCGACTTCCTGCACATTTGCACAGGTCATCACTTTATTTACGGACCGCCGCCTCGCTTGTAGACTTTCGCGTGATATCAATTTTTCTGTTCTCTTTTCATTCTCTTGTGAAAATTTTGAGAAAGCCTTCTCCTGTTTTGTTCAAAGATATGTAGGTGTCAATTATAAGTCCGTCCTTTTTCATAATGCAGGCATTTAGAGTATTTAGATTTCGAGTAATTTCCAAAGTTTAAAAGAACGGAAACGGGTTTTTTAATTCTTTTTTTGGTGTATTTATATTTGTACGGTTTCTTATCAAGAATTTGTTTTCATCAATTAGCAGATGAGTAATATTAGTCGTGTGACGCGTCGTCGAATTCCCGAGACGTTGAATCTCGCACGTGGATCGGGATGTGCCGAGGTGCCAAATGCCAAATGCCATTCGATTCTATTGAAAGAGCGTCACGCAGTACTTCGTGGATTCGCTGACTTTATTTGCCACGGTGTGAGACATTTGACTACTACTAAGCCGGTGACATAGAGACACTTGTTTTCAAAAGAGCGCATTATTATATCACGGTAAAGAAGTGCTAATTGGCACGATATAAAAGTTATCGCCAATCGTTAATAATTCTTTTATACCTTATCGATATGTTGTAATTAGAAGCATTTGTGTCGTTTTAGAATCATTACTAGGAGCTTAAAGAAACTTAAATTGACCTTAGTTGCCTAAGTTTATGAGGAAAAATACAAGGGTTCGCCGTGAAAAACTTCATTACATATTTGCATCCTACACATAATTGTGTTACAAAAAATGCGAGGGTTCCCCGTGAAAACTGTATTTACAAAATCTTTGCGTCCTACACATTATTGTATTTCTACTAAGGTGAGATTCGTTGTTTCCTTTCCGAGACAAATTATTGTAACTACCGTAACGGTCGCGTGTTAAATGTCTGAACACGTGTAGGCGGGTTAACTACATACCAATTACTCATTTATTGACTTAACCAGTATTGTGATTTTATCGACTCGCATTAAAGTTGTTTAATATGTGTTTAGAAAGTATTGTGTAAGAAAACAGTATTGGTCGTTATGTTTCAAAAACTAACATGATTTATTACCTAAATTTGAATACCTATGCGTAAAGTGTACAGATAATGTAGTTGCGAGACATTGCGAGCTATTTTCATATTGAAAAGTGATGCAACACGTTTATTAGGAGCTCAAATAATACCGGCGGAAGACCACAAAAGCGAAAATAACAATAAGTAATATGAAAACTCAGTTATTTTATTACAAATTAAGTAAATTTGTCACTGTATTTAATTTGTTTTCTAATCGCACATAAAATTGAAATTAATTTTTGGTCGCGATATAGCATATTTCTTAAAAAACTGTACGTTTAATACATGATAATTATTTATATATTTTAAAGTATATCTGATATATAAAATTCTCGTGTCACGGTGTTTGTACTCCTCCGAAACGGCTCGACCGATTTTCGTAAATTTTGTGTGTTAAAGGGGTGGATATCCCAAAATTTTTTATTATTTTTTGTTTTTATTTTTTTACGATACAGCATACAAAAATACATACAACCCTAAATTTTCACCCCTCTACGCAGACATAGTCGCGGGCAGCAGTTAGTAATATATTTTAAAGTCGCGTAGTCTAAAGCAATGTCGCTCCCGATGTTTGTACGCTTAGAGATCTTTTAAACTGCGTAACGGTTTACAGCAATAGATAGTCATTCAAGCGGAAGGTTTTTGTAGTATACATGCATATTATAGTAGAGAAAAGCCGAGAAGTTCAATATCTACATTGCACCCGTGCGAAGTCGGGGCGAGTAGCTAGTTAGTAATTAAATAATTATATTTCTTATTTCGAAACTATTTATGTCCATGTCAAACTTCTGACGTGTTCAAAAACAATACCTTTAAGATAACAATAGGTACAACAGAATTTTTGAAAAATGACATTCAAATATGACTTTTTCTTAACAGAAAAACTTTAACATGAATAAATAACAATCGTATTTAGATGTATCATCGCCCTTGCCACATACCAGCGTTAACGCCCTACATGTGAGGAGGAAAAGGAATCAAATTACTGCAACTGAGGCATTTCAATTTAACTAACAAGGAGCGATGCTTATCAGAGATTATAACTGGGTCCTATAAGACATATAATGTACTCGTTTTTAAAAGAATATAAACATTACACGTGTTTTTTTAATTAAGTTTTTAATAATAAAAAGATTGAATGAATGCTTGAAAATGAATTTCATTCAATAAAGCAACAAATGAATAGATTGTTGCTTTATTGAATGAAACTAAAGGAAATATTTAACTATATTTTTAAACTAAATAAATACTTTAATGTATGTATATTAAATTTATTATGTACCTTAAACTTAATGTTAAATATTAATTACTAACTACCACGTAAAATCAGATTTACTACTAAATAACAATAGATTATTTAATTACGAATTATTTTAATCAACTTATGTGAACTTTACTGTTTTAAGTTCCTCTTAATATAAGATTATAAATATTATTCCATTTCCTATGCTACAGGAAATACGGAGTTCGAGTTTTCAAAATGCCGCTTCAAATACGACGAAGCTGTCTGGTCTTCCTGCGAGAGAACCTCCTCACTCTGCTGACGATCATTGGCGTGGTGTCAGGCACCTTGTTGGGATGGGGCCTGAGGGCATCTGGCCACGAGTGGACTCGGCGGGAGGTCATGTACTTCCAGTACCCAGGAGAGCTCTTCCTGAGGATGCTAAAGTGTCTGATAGTGCCGCTCCTGGTCTCCTCGATTGTGTCCGCCATCGGTTCTTTAGATCTCAGCCTGTCCGGAAAGTAAGTGAAAAGTTGTTTCGCACAAAAGACGTCAGACTTGCTGAGTTTTCCTTGTGCATAGCGTCGGTCGACAACAGTATCCTATATGTATTATCTATGGTCGACAAGGGAAATTATTAATTTTTGTTATTATTTGCAAATCACTTTTTGGCTTTATGTGAATAGGTTTTACTTATAAACTGAATAAAGTTAGACAGAGTCATTTACTGTTAACTGACGATTTAGAGTTGAATAATATTAGCCCGTGTAGATAAAGAATTTATAACTTCCATTAGTCTTATAGTTTTTATATTTTACCTTATCTCTACAAATCATATTGCAATTCGACTGCAGAAAAGTTAAGGTTACTTACTATTTCTTATGTTAATAAGATACCGCGTTCTTGTATATACAAATAGTGCGAAAAAGTATAAATATATCATTGCAAATATATAATTAAAATGTCGCTCAGAATATTATAATATAAGGTCTACCATTTTTCAGGGTCGGTCTTCGTGCTATCATATACTATATGACTACAACAGTGTGTGCCGTAATGCTGGGTATTGCCCTCGTCACTACAATCAAACCGGGCAAAGACCCAGAGGCATACAGCCAGCCGAACGCCACAAAAGTGGTAACTAAGGACACGTTGACGTCAGACACCCTTTTGGATTTGATAAGGTAATGTTGCTTAAGTGATCAAGTTTGAATACATGTAATCGCTACAAATTGTTGCATTTTGAATTCGCGAATGTTACATTTTAAATCACTTTTAGTCTATTTTGTAAACAAATTTGTTAAACATAGTTATTGTATTTAAACGGTTGAAAGGTATAACTCGTTGATGCACACCGTGAGTAGTGGAATTTGCGACCTTAAATAGCATGTCCGATATTCAACCTAAACGGTAAAAAAAATATATTACATTAATGAATTGATGGTTTAAGTGAATAGTAGGAGAACACTAAGTACTGATTCATCATTTAAGAACAACTGGATAATGAATGTTTCAAAATCGTCCAAATTATAAAAATAAAACTACCTAGAAAATAAAATTTGAAAAAGGTCTTCACTGTTGTAAAAGTTTGACGCTAGTCTTTGCCCTCAAGGTGAAACTTTTTTTCTAGATAAATGGACAAAACTTTGGGAATTAGAAACTTCGTTTTCTGGTAAAGCATCCGGCCGCTTAGTTTAGACGGTAGAGTGTCTGGGCGCGAAAGCAGAAATCGTACGAAGATATGTTTATATTAATTTATAGTTAAAATTTTATCGATTCTATACGCTTTCCGAGAGAAATTCATGTATTATATTAACGGACCATTGTTATATAATTATCAACAAAATAATTGGCGTATAAATGTTTTCACTGTGTGATAATTTCTTCACTACTTGCGAGGTTATGGTGCAGATTTCGAAACGTAATGGAACTTGTATAAGCTTTGTCTCAAGGTGGAATATTGCCGTGTAGTGCGTTAGATCGCGACGATTGTTTAAAAGACGTAACAAATGTTTACGCGTTAAACGATTCCGGCAACTGCACGGATGAAATATCAGTCATCTGGTGTCACCCCCGCGGCCGAGTTGCTTTAATCGGTCGGCCCCATTCATTACCCTAATGCTTTTAATAGGTGCTAACTCGCGGTTTAATTTTCGCCATCCGTTCGCGTTCGCGCGAATAGTTGCGGTTTTATGGGGGCGTAACAATAATAGAGTAACCCAATTAGCGGGGCAAAATTATGTTTGAAAGTTAAAGAGGGCCACAAATCACCGGCAAGTACAGGGACCCTTAGATGAGAGTTGTCGACCGTATGTACTGTTGTCGAGCCGTTGTACAGTTTGAGTTTCTAATAAAACTTCAAGGGTTCTCATTGTTCTATTATTGAGCAGGGCCTTAGATTAAGTGCGTCATAGATGCTGCATGTATAGTAAGGTTCATCAAAGCGATTTATTTTGGTAAGAGTTTAAAACTGCTCACAATTGGACGTTACCATACCTTACCTTTACTTAAAGCTTGCTTATGACGTCAAGGTACAGACACTCGTACTGGGAAATAATATTCCTGTGTTTCGGAAGGTGTCATATACATGACAATTGCTGACTTGAAGTACACTTGAACTCGCAACAACTCACAGTTTGTGGAACACAATAACAAGACAATCAGGACCAACTGTACCGTTGCACTTTCCGTGCAAATATTAAAATCAATAAAATCAATAAATGTGGTAGGACCACGCGTCAGTCTTTGTCCGTGGCACGAACAGCGTAGTAGACGGCGGTTATCACTTAACATCACGATAATCGCCAGCTTGCCACGTTCTCACATAAAAAAGGAAAACAATCTAATCATCTATCACCCGGTCTCATCCTCTGTAACTTGTCTAAACTTGTCTCATTTCTTTGTAAGATTGGCTCAAACAAGCGACAACTCATGAAAATTAAAATATTATGTTACAAAAGCTTTATCATTCGTTTCGGTTGCCCTATCCTCGGTTTGGGAAAATCCCTCGTCACAAAGTCGAGACTGTCTGTCTCGACTTTGTGACGAGGGATCTTCCAAAATCCGTTCTGTAATGATTACTATCAGATAACTATTACTTCTAAAATGTTCATAATTATAGCGATGTTTATTCTGTACTAAAAGGCCAGCAAAGTTGGAATCTTCCTGGTTACCCACTTAAAGAATAATAAAGAAGTAGTATACTCCTGCGTTCTTTGACATGAGTAACGACCGAGAGACCCAATTACAGGCATCGGCGTAATGCATCACACCAGGGTTGGCACCTGAGCAGCTGATAATTTTATATAATTTTTTTTATTCACAATTATTAAATTACAATTTTAGGTTACATTTTTTACTGTCTCTGCTTGGTTTTGGCATTAGGAATTAATTGTTTATGTTATACGTTCAAACAAAATACGTTTTAACTGCAATAAATTGTGGCTATTTCTACAAATGGAGTCTGTAACAGTTGAACATTATTTTTGTTCCTATTATAATAACTCTGTATTTTATTATTGACTATTTAAAATTAGTTATGTCTCAATCATATAATAGCCTTTGACACCTAATTGTGGCAGAGTCACGCTACGGTCATCGCTGTTGCACGAAAGGGCAGGTCCGTCCGGTGAAGTACCACACCTCACAGAATACCGGCGTGAAGTGGTGTAATACTTGTGCGCTTCGTGTGGTGAGTGAGGTAACCGGGGCCCACTTTATTGAAAGGTGGTAAAGCATCACAAATCCTACTTTACTACGGGTTGTGAAAATGTTCATGGGTGGCGTATATAAACAAACACCGCACTACAGGTTAGACCTGTGTTTAGAGAGACTTAGTCTTCGTTAAAACCGCCTAGTGCCTTCATTCCTTAACGTTAAACATTTGGACCTGGTCAATTTTGTCTAATGTTCAAATCAATTTAATTTTTCAATAATATTGGCGTTGAAAGTCAGTGTTTGCGATACTCATAAGCTGTCGATAATTACCGACATGTTCCAACGCCCATATTGTAATTTTACTTCACCATCATCATCATAATTGAACTAACTAATCCTCTAAGCTATGTCGGTTATCTTTCTTCTACGGTGGTAATCTTCGTTGCAAACTCTATACGTAGAGAAATACTAGCCATAGCTCACTTCCATAGCTTGCTGAGCGTCTTTGTCTCCCCATGGCCAGCAGTAACAGACATTGATTTCAGACTAATGTTTAAACAATGACAGATATCAATTTTACTTCACAAAATACTATGTTTGATATTGCTATTAATTTCATCTACATTAAAGTTTATTCTATCGTTGTTATAGAGATATTTTTGTTTATACATCTTTAGAAATGTATAAATGTATACGTATCTGTTAATCTAAAAGTCCGTTACGTTCATAACGCTAAGATTATGGGATAATTGGATCATTTGCTCTAAGTGGGCCATAGGTTAACTTGCCACTTTTTGTACTTGGGTATGATTAGTTTAGTTGATTACTCTGCTGATAGATTCTATTATCCGATCTTGTATAGGGGTCGAAGGCGCAAAATCGAAATACTCAACTTATCTGTGGTCCGATGAATTATAAGGTATTAACATATTATATTTACTACTTATTACATTTTTCACATACATAACATATTTCGTTTTATTTTACAATTTTCGGATAATTAACCATTAGGATTGTAAAAAAAAGTATATAATTAAAGTATTGAAAACGAATACAGTAGGCCAAGTAAGTGTCTTCATTACGACATGTATAAAAGTATGGAAAGTGTACACAGAGTAATACCAAACGAACAGTCTAGTCATTATTATTTCTAAATATATTATCTTATTTCCAAATACATTTTTTCTCTTTTAATATATCATTGTTAAATAAGAAAGTTAAGTTGTTTTTTTTAATCAGAATTTGTTTTGGGGTTTTTATCTTTGTTTTAGATATGTCAATCCCATTGTCACCATCTCATTACTATACATTAGGAATAAATTAAAAAAAAATCATTGTGAGAACACCGAAGCAGCACAACATATCAAGTTATATTAAGTTCTTGTTGATATCTAAGATTTTATTACTGTTTATCTACGAAGGTGTGCTAAGTTGCCAAGTTGCGCACTGCTTTTGGACAAAGTTTATGGGCGTAATTGTCAATTAGGTGTTTGCTCCGAAGAGAAACGGGTACAGGCGTCGGTTCCCTGGTCGTCACTCTTCATCAGCCAACTAGTTATTTATACAACGCCCTAGATACTGCGCATTATTAGGGATGTCAACATTGAGCATTTTAACAGCGCAGACCTAAATAACAATAAGCATCAAACTCTAACAGTTCTTTCTTTTTTTTTTAAACATTGCCCTTACTTTAGGATAATATTATCCTGTCTTTTAAGGTCGTTTTACAAACAAAAATTTCACGCGGACAAACACCCAGTATTCATATTAGCTCAAAAATCGAAACTACACGTTACATTGATTATTGTTAATGATTTTAAATAGATGACAATTAATAGTATTTTTCTGTGGTAGAACTATGGTTCTAATACGGTAAAAATACGAATGTGGCATGCCACAGATTCTGTTGTTGCAACAATGTGCAGACTCATTATGACTTCTGAGTTGAGGTGTTTTTACTCCCGTGCCGAGAAGTACCTTATCGTCACAGTAGATCAACCTAAAATATTTGAAACTTCTGCATTTCTTAAGGTGAACCAGCTAGCCGGTACCCATAAAAATTGGAACTCAAGGGGATTGTAGCATCTATGAGCGGAAATCACTTAATATAAGGTGAACCCCCAGCTCTCTTTTACCGTAAAAAAATTGTAGTGGCAATATTAAGCCGAAATCTACATTAAAAGAGGTCAAGCGACAACCCTAGCTGCTGTATCAATCAGAATAACGACACTGCAGATCGGTGTGTAGCAGATTGCCAGGTGACAGTAGGTCATTTGAACGTAACTCGATTGTATTTGATCGGCACCATTGCCACCTCTATTAAAATTTTATTTAATCAATGGAATTATTCCCTATTGCGCGGCTAGAGTCATGGGTAAAAAATAGTAAAGGTTAATTTCACCAACGCAACGGCGCCATTCGATGCGCGTATTTAGTTATAGTTACGGGGTTAAGTTGAATATTTGTGTATCGTATGAAACATATACAACAGGTCCTAAGCAGAAAGCACGGTGTATGATATCATAATGAAATTTTGTGAATACACCGAAGTGTAAAAACTAATTTTACGCCCTATTTCGGAAAGTTTGGCAGTTCGCGCGGTGCTTTAGTTAATTGTGTCCAGCACATTAGCACTAATGAGGACATTATAACGCTCACATTGAATTGTTTCAAACATTTTCACGGCCGTGGGTGTGCGTTTATTATCCGCCTAAATTGGTTAACTGTTGTAACGACACCGGAAGCTACCGACCTCTCGCATGGCGGTTTGTGCGAATAGCATGCTATTTAATTCGGTTAAAAGATTCGTCCTAGAGGTCGTATATTTTTAGGGCCGTTGTGGATACCGATAGATCCCCTTGCATCACTAGACTTCATTGATATGCCAATTTTACCGTCTATTACAACGCACTCGATCTGTTAACGGCAGGATGGAGTGCAATTTAAATCCTATAAATATGTTGAGATGGAATTCATGATATCGTTTCACTGTGACAGCATAATATGTAACTTTTATTCGATGACAGCTTGTTGGTTGAAGTTGACTTGATGCACTCGTCCTTCTAACAGATTTATACTAGGATATGTTTGACTATTAATATAAATATTGGCTTGTCCTTTATTTTTATTTATATTTTCTTATATGGATTGTTACACTTGTGCAGGTTATCGTAATAACTTAAATGCTTATTAGCAAGAAAATTATATATATTGTATTTTTTTTTTAATTGAGCCATGAGATATATTAATGTATATTTTATACCAGTTACCATATCGGTAACTATGATGCTACTTACGGTAACCGTAAGCATGGAACCTGACAGATATTACCTTTACTAAGAAGACAATTTTTATAAGTACAAATAAAAACGTTATTGTTATAAGTTGTCTCGGTTTTCCTAAGCTTTTCTTTGAATTTCAGGAACGTGTTTCCCGAGAACATCGCACAGGCCACACTAGCGTCTTATCGAACAAGACTTGTATATGACGAAAATGACAGCAAAGCCGTAAAAGGTATTCTTTTATAGATTATAAAACATAGCTACAATTAAAGTTCTGTTTTCATTATAGCAATTTAAGGGACTCTTTGATTGTTAAAGATCACCTGGAGACGTACAAAATCGAAGGGGACTACCAGAATGGGACCAACGTGCTGGGCCTGGTGTGCTTCAGCATCATACTTGGCATCACCCTTGGCAAAATGGGCGACAAGAGTCGCCCTCTTCAGGATTTCTTCCACACCCTGTCCGAAGCCATGATGATAATCACCGGATGGGTTATTTGGTAACGTTACCTCTAAATTTATTCTTAAATATACATTTTTATATTTAAATATTTAAATAAGATGCCTGACTTCTTCTTTTTCCTTATTTCACTGGTCGACACGTCAGCTCGAAAATTATTAATTTTAAAGCGATTCACGCAGCAAATACTCTATGTTGAAGTCTTTCATTGGTTGTGCGCTCAGTTATGATTTAATTTGTTGATACCTGTATCCCAAGCTGATTTTAGATGTCTCTTAGTTCTTATAGCCTCGCGAAGGTTCCATGGCAGGTAAAGGTTTTCTTTTGCGAGAATTTGTAATCTATTAAATTTGTAATAGTTGAGGTGGTTTTGAATGTTCTCAGACAGGTTTACTTGATCTGTAATATTTAATGTCATAGCCGTGTAGTATCCGCGTATTTATGAGAAATTGGTAACAAAATTTATTTATCGTCGTATTCTTACCCACTTTTAATTTTTTTTTTGGACAAATTATAAATGAGGACTATAATTATGTTATTACAGTAACTAGTAACTCGATATCACGTCATATCTTTATATTTCTTTTTGTTTCTCAGGCTGTCTCCACTTGGTGTGTTTTTCTTGGTGACAGCGAAGATCATGGAGATTGATTCCTTCGCCGAGCTGGTGGGCCGATTGGGCCTCTACTTTATGACTGTGCTCCTCGGGTTGTTCCTGCACGGCTTCGGGACCCTCAGCGTGCTGTTCATTTTGGCCACGAAGAAGTTGCCTTGCCGCTACATCGCCAAGATGGGGCAGGTCATGGCCACGGCGTTCGGTACCGCTTCCAGGCAAGAAATTACATTATAATATATATTCCAACGCTACATAGTATAAAACAAAGTCGTCCCGCTGTCTGTCTGTCCCTATGTATGCTTAGATCTTTAAAACTACGCAACAGATCTTGATGCGGTGTTTTTTACTAGATAGAGTGAGTGATTCAAGAAGAAGGTATATGTATAATACATTGCACCCGTGTGATGCCGGGGCGGGTCGCTAGTTTCAAAATAAACTCATCGCGGTTTGTTCTTACAGGTGATTAAAACGAATATGTTTAAATTTTAAATACTATTTCTATTAGCTGACTGGTATTTAGTAAAGTTTCCTTTTAAAGTACATTTGCCCACACATCCCACACAGTTTTTTTTGTTACGTCCACGTACTTCCTTAGTTGCAGTTAATAACTTCTGGCCGGTATCAACATCTATCTATATGTAGTTTCGGTTACTTCAGATAGAATTATGGCGTTAACATCAAATACCTATCGCTAGTAACTGAAACGAGGGATAGATAGCTTGTTGAAAACGGCCGTTGTACAATAACGATAGCTATAAACGCGCTATAAACATATGTATGAGATAACCAAAACGAACTTAAATGCTCCGATTCTAGTTCAGCCACGATGCCCATAACGATCGGATGCTGCGACGATATGGGCCTGGATCCCCGAATCACCCGCTTCGTAATACCCATCGGGGCAACAATCAACATGGACGGCACCGCGCTGTACGAGGCCGTGGCCGCCATTTTCATCGCCCAGCTGAGGAAGGTGGAAATGTCTTTCGGCAAGATTGTTGCCGTGAGGTAAGCTGGTGGTGCTTTCGTTTAATTTGTTTATACTTTCTTTCTTCATTAGATTTGCAAAACTGAATACAGTTATACAAGTTCATCAATTTCCGATCGTCTCAATCACAAAAAGAAAACAAAAGGACGTGAATATAACTTAAGAACTAATTAATATGCATAGAGATGAAACTAAATACTTGCACTTTCTATGACACAATTTAATGGGAATTGCTGCCCATAACTTTATTCTATTTGTCTATTTTTCGTCACTAGCCCCAAAACTAAAATTTAAAGTGTTTTGTGAAGCATTAAATTTGACGAATAATTATAGATGTTATTGCGTACCGACATAAAAAACGTTTGAGAAATAATATATATAGATAGAATCCTAAGTTCGACCCGAATGGCGTAGTGGGTAGTGTACCTGTCTCCTGCGCCAGAGGGTGCGGGTTCGATCCCCACTATTGGAAAAATATTGTGTGATGAACATAATGACTTTCTAGTGTCTGGGTGTTTATATATTTATTTAATTACTAAATGAAAGTATGTTTATCATTTTTGTAGTACCCTTTGTACAAGCGTTGTTTAGTTTGGGACTAGAGAATGTTGTGTAAAAATTTATCCTATAATATTTATGTATTTTATTTATTTATTCATTTATAAGTTTCGACAGTGGGAATATTAACGGAACGCTACTCGTTTATATCGTTTTCTAGCGTAACAGCGACAGCGGCTAGCATCGGCGCAGCTGGCATCCCTCAAGCTGGCTTGGTTACCATGGTGATGGTACTGGACACAGTAAATCTACCCGCCGAAGACGTCTCCATTATCCTCGCGGTCGACTGGCTACTGTGAGCAATCAATTTTCAAATTAGAATTCTAAATTCAATTCAAAATATCTTTATTCACATAGACGCTAGCGCGTTCCTATGAAACATCAAAATTATACATAAAAATTAATACGTTCGTAAGTTACCACCTGAACCGGTTTGGAAAGCAGTTTCTGTGGAGAACAAACTCATCAGTAGCACTTTTAAAAAAAGCTTATGGATATATAAAATTAATTTATTTTATTTATGTATGTGGTAATTTAACGTTTGTATTAACTTAATATTGATTTAACATGTTATTAATAAATCTAGCCTCTATATCTTCAATTGTTCCATATGACGGAAGTCATTGTTGTATTACATTGTTTTTTGGGATTATGACAGATTATTCATTAATAATTTGATGTCAACGGCTTTTCTATATTAGTTTACCTTGCTTTATATTAAAAGTTTAAGAGCAGAAAATGTACATACTATTTTTTCTACCAACATTATTATGTTGGTAGAAAAAACAGGTTCATCTTTATTAATAGCAGACCTTTATAATTTTATTTATAAAAATAGATATTTTATTTGTATCAAATATTGCAATAAATATTAAATGTTATAAAATTATTTTTGTCGTTACAGCGACCGCTTCCGCACAACGATAAACGTGGTGTGCGACGCGTTGGGAGCTATAATTGTCACATCACTATCGCAAGGCGACATCGAGAAGTCGCGAGCGGTGCAGCAAAATGACCGCGAGCTGGCTCCCGCGCACGAGCTCACCGAGCTGGAAAAGGGCGATCTTTAAATACGCTCAGAAATCCAGCGAAATAGCGGTTAGAGTCGTACTGTGTTCTAATAACGATATTGGCAGTAACAGTTTATCAGACGATAACGTTAACGCCATGGTTTATGGTTTATGTTGAGAAATAGATGATCTTATTAGCATAATGTAAAGACATTGTTGTTCACACAGCAGAAATTTATTATATGAAAAATGTATGATATGTTTAGTAGTGAAGTTTAGTTGGTCAAATGCATAGAAAGGCTAAAAATTTTATTAGCCAATGTTTTATTTTTTTGTTACCAACATGATTATTACTTTTTTGAAAACAGAACATCGAGTCGATTTAAATGATGTATCTACAGTAGCTTTAGTAAATTATTCATAAATACTAGATATCTATGCATACGCAGCATTGATAATTAAGTGTTATTAAGTGTCAATGTCTAAATCTGTTAAAGAGGTGTCATTTAGTAAAATTGCATATGAAATTTGATTTGAAATGCTATCTGCAGATTTTGAGTACTTAAAACTATTTCATGATTTCTCAAAACGTTTCACTGCGTTACAGCTTGCATTTAATGGTGACATTTTGAGATGTCGTGCAATGAGTTTTGAGAAACATTAACCACCTACCATTAATTTTTCAGTCGTAAAACAGTGATTATGAACGTTATTCATCTACTCTATTATGCTATTTTATCGTAAGATTAATACATATTCTTGAAAAAGGGTATGCGATCGACATTTATTTAAAATTTTGGTCATAATAGTTTTAATGGCGAAAAATTTAATTATTTTGTGATTAAAATTCAAAATTTTACAAAACGAATACATTACATGATAATGTGTTGTACTCTTTTATATCCATTTTAATAGGTGAAAACTATTCTTCTATTTTTGTATGATTGTATATCTACTGGTAGATGTGTAGTATATATTTTATTATATGTTTTAGTTGGGAATGTGCCATATTATAAGTAAGTTTAATTTTATTTATTTAGTGTATATATAGTATATCTCCAGTCAATACATCTATTTGCATTCCAAATGAAACAATTTAAATACATTGAACACGGTGTGGAAATTTGAATGTTAATAATTGTCTTTTAAATGTATAATTTTAACGTAATGAATGAATTTTATTGATTATATAACAACTGATACGTATGAGGTTTTCTGAAACGTTTGTTTACGTAGTTGTTATTTTACGAAAGATTAGGTTGTGTTAAATCGCTAATAGCGAGAAAATATTTAATTTGGTATTTATTGTGTAGCCTTCAAAATATTTTGATAATGATCAAACATCTATATTAATCTGCGGTGTAGCGGGTAGTGTGTTAAACTTAGATTCCGAGTTCAGTACCCAGCGAATGTTTGTGTTCGTAGTTAAATGGTAATTGTGTAGATTTGTAAAGTATTTATTTAATGTAGTCACTGTCCTTACTTTTTAAGTGGAAACCAAAAATTTTACAGCCCACTTTTACTGCTTAAGCGGTATTATTTTATTAGTTTCGAGAAAAGTTGTAACTAATTGATGTATTGTATTATCGTTATTAAATTATGATTATTGTATACGATAAATATTACCGTACGTGCAAAATATACATTTGTTGAACGTAAACAGCAGAAATTCTTCTAAATACTGGTTTATTGATCGTTATTGAATGTTAATTATTTGAATAAATAATAATTATACTACCAACGGTTTTATTTTTAGTTAGAAATTAAATCAAGCAAATTTTGGTTTTAAATCTTTATTAGGGTAATTTCAACCAAGTTTATTGATCGCATTGAAATCAATATACATTAAGGAATTGTTATAAAACTCACTCCTGCCGTCACATACCTAGATCACCTCACAGCCAAGGTTTACTTTCCTTAAAACAAAACAAATAAATTGAATAAACAAAATGAACCAATTTTTTTTCCTATTAAAATTATTTGTAAGAAGCAAATGCTTGTTGTAAATGATTATAACTCGATTAACACTAAGTAACAATATTCAAGTAACATTTTACTATCAATTATTACCGGACTACGAAAGGTCAGTCTCGTAATAAATATATACGTTCTAACTTAAACGCTAAAACTTTGGAATGTTGACGTTAATAATAAAAACAAATGAGTATCTCTAATGACTAATGACAATAACTAATATGGCGAACTGTTAACAAGATCGAAATAAGGAATGCTATTAATAAATTAAAAATAACCTTCATATCAATAAACACTTGGCTCACTTTCTTACAGTGGGTGCCTTAATTTTACACCAAAATTACAAAGCATTAGTTTTCTTTCAAAATAAGGTGATAACAATACTAAAATATAAGATATTTCAAGTTTCTATAAACAATTTTAATTTACTAATATTTTTTTGCTCCGTCACATTATTTTCACTTGTACTAGACAAGCCTATTTTTACTTTGTTTATTTTCGTTAAAAAGTTTTCGTCATATGTCTACGAACTAGAGTCTAGATATGTTTCAAGACTTAGTTTTTAAAGCTTTCTTTTACAAGTCGGATCAATTGTTAATCGAATATACAAACAGCTTTTAAAATATAAATTATTCATATTTCTCTTATTAGTAATTAGAACAATTTACAATAAAGTATTTTATTTTGCAGTACCATTTTCCTTTATAAAATAATATTCTTTCATTAATACAGCTTCCTGCTATTACGAGCGCGTTTAGTTTGCTAAAACGCTATGTGTGTCGCATCCCTTGAATTCGTACGTTGGGATTAAACAACGCCGTTGCCAACAAGGTTGTTGTTGTGGTTAAGTTGCTTTTGGGTCCCATTTTTGCTGTTGAACGACGAATCTCTGCGGCAGTTTCGCTCGCTGTGTATGGAGCTCCGCGCTCTTGCTAGGGTCGCCGCCGATATTTCCATAGAGTCGCCGTATGGGAACCGCGAGCCTCTTCTCGTACTTCCGTTACGATACCTAGCATTCTGAAAATTTACACAATGTATCATTAAGATTGCTATTGGTCTAGACCGAAGACCACCATTGTTCTAGACTGTAGACCAATACGAAGGAAAGAGCTATAGGGTGCTTAAAAATGTTTTTTTTTTGTAGTTGCATTTAAGATTCGTTCTTTATGTTTTCGATTAACTTTTGTATCTTCTCCCATTGTTTTGACGGGCTGCCGGCGTCAATTGGAAATTACAAACTTGACGTTTACACTTTTGCTTTTAATGCGGTGGGGCAAATACTTCTTCTTTGTTCTCTGTTTCTGAAGATAATCTGACGTTGTGGATAGCTTGTCACCATTAGCTGTCAGTCATCCACTTGTACATATCTCAATTCATTAAAATAAAAGTACAAAACAATTACCGGCCCCGTATGCCAGCGGTTCCTGTTGAAAACGCCGTAAACAATGGGATTGGCACAAGAATTCGTACAAGAGAACAGCCACATGGCTTTCTGGAAGGCCGGGTCCAAACTTCTAACGGACTCTTTGTCTATCCAGTACCTGTAAAGAAAAAAAAATGTTTCCATATCATCTTACCCTGCGTAAGTCTATTACCAAGAAATTAGGATATCAACAAAGTAGAATATAATTTAAAAAACTAAAAAACCCGAACTGCGTTTCTGAGTAATTTTTTATTTTGATATACCCAGTGTCACTCTCTAAAATCCATCAAGCCGTTCAGGATGCAGAGCGTGTCAAACAATTATATATACATACTCTCGAAAAACATAACCCTCCTTCTGGCGCAGTCGGGTAAAAACTTGACCAATTACATATTCCTAGACTCAAGACCAAGACATGTTCGAATTTATACATTAATAATGTCCTAAAAACCTAAGCCAGCAAGATAACATAAAGATTTCTTGTATTTACGCGAATACTATACACGGTTTAACGAGTTATTGTTTGCAAAGGAGGGTTGACGTCATGCAGGCGGCCGGTCATAAAAAACATAGGCCAAAACTACTTACAGCATTATTCACATATTGTGCCCACCCCACCTAGGTGGGATAAGAAAGGAGGTTGATGATGATGAGTACTACACATGGATTAATAAAACTATTTTATGGATTTTATCGTGTTTTATTTCGATTTTAAATTTCTGACGTTTTGAGCACTACGGCGTTCATAGTCACGGATTCGTGAAATAGTTTTTGTCACGACGCTATTATATAACGAGGGGTTTTGAGGAATAATATTATTATTATTATCATCGTTTAAACATAAAAGATTCTAAACTTATTGATACATATATATAAGAGATTTCCACGGATAATTGACTCATCACGATATCTTTTGAACCGTAAGGCGTAGAGACTTGAAATTTGGTAGGAATATTCCTTTCGCCGAGTAGAGGTCAGCTAAGAACGGATTTTATGAAATTCCACAAAACAACGTTTTCCGGATCTGCTAGTGTGCATAATAATTAGCATCGATCGTTATATAAGATAATGAAACAGTAACAGTTTGGCTTCCAACACCTGTAAGGGGTGACTTGGCAGGATAAAAAAACGTATCTTACCACAGACAGTAACAGTAGTACGGTGACCAGCATGCGAAGAACACTAAGACTATGGTAACGGTCATCTTCAGAGTTCTAGCTCTGGCTCTACCGAGTATGCCGACACCGCTGCGACGCATTTTGTCTGAAAGCAAATAACGTACAAATGCATATGAATGCTTAGAAATATGTCTCGCTTTTGAAGTTATTATTATTGAGTTCACGGCTTGTTATGTTATAACTTGATAAGCTTGCACAGAACTGGCAATCAGAGCCTATCCCGTAAGAAATAAGAGACGTTGAAGCTTGAATATAATGATGAACTAAGACAAATACTAAAAACAATGAAAATTTTTAAAATAGGCCTTCACTCGGATTTTACTTTGATCTCTCGTCAGGTAGGATTACAGTTAATTTAATTTGTTATTTTGCGTCAAAAAACTAAAGATATCGAAAATATTACTTTATATTCAATGTACAGACACGCCGATTCTACTCTTTTATTTTATTAGCTTATATCTCGGAATCTCTCACAATAGGTCAATTGGTATTGGAGTTTAGTAATTTCACACATAATATTACTTAATAATACAATTAGTATTTACATAATAACTAAATCGAAAGCTTACTTAATCGATTTCATTTGAACGCTACAAAATTTAAGTCCCATTATTTACATACGAGAGTATCGTAGGGTAGCTACAAATTCGTAGGTTTGCTCAGGAAGCTTTGTGCTTCCAAATAGCGAACATATTTGTACTGAGCCAACACCACGAGTGAGCAAACAATCTTTATAGCGCTTGACGTTAGAAAACCTAATACTTGTCTTTCTGCTTTAATCTAGAACAAATTACATTATATTTTTTTAATTATACGCGGAGCGAACTGGTCACTTGCAATAAAAAAATCGTTCAAGAAATTCGAAAATCGAACTTTCTCTAAAAAAATTACTTTTTGATTAGACAGGCAGTCATTTGTTGTTTCATTGTTGCGTCCTTTAGCAAATTGTGTGTCGCTATTTATTAAAATGAATAGTGAAAAGTTTCCTTTACAATTTTTTTTTACGATTTTTGCTGTGGCTTAAATCAATAACGTCTTGACCGGACCCAGTTGTGTTTCTTTGAATCGAAGAAAAAGTCATTCCATTTCAAGACTTGCCGATGAAAATTAAGAAAATTCGTAGCACCGATAAAAAAACATTTTTTAAACGTCATTTCATAACTAGTGAAAAGCTTTTTCGCGGCAAAGTTCTTCTTCACCATAGTAACGCGACCGCACATTCCGCTAAGATAAAGAGTTCTCATTTGAAGGCCTCAGAAATGGAACTGATGGTGCATCCGTTGTTTCATCAAAATGTTTACGATTTACAAGCCAATTTCAAAATGTTGTTGACCCTAATGAACATTACGATCCACCGCTTGGTACAATGGTCAACACAAATATGTGTTAATAGTAATATACTTCGAAACACAAAAATGTATTATAAGTGCATATAATATCTAGTCGTATTTACCAAAATATGATCTAAGTATCACTGAAAGCGGAATGCTGACGTAACATTTGCGATTCTGTTATTTGGAGTGTAAGAAAGTTTTCGTAGAAACGCTACGCAATTTTTCATTTATGACCGCGAGCTTTGAGATATCACGATGGAATGTCGTATGATCCACACCTCATTCGGTTTCTTTAATATAATTTTCGTTATATACGATGCATATAAATTTGTCAATTAAAACGTAGAAGTAAAATAATCAAATATTTTTCTACATTTTGTTTTTGTATCTACAATAGATGTCTATCTACTACAATCAATCCTAAATATCAATTATTAAGTGAGTTTGTTATTATATTGATAACACAAAGGCTTACTTGTCCCCAATTTTATGTATGTCTAGTCATTAAACTTTTAGAAACACAGAAGTTTGATTTGATTAATTAACTGTTTTCTGACAGAGCTACATTTAAATTTATTATTTTAATTATGTCTGCATTTTATGCCATATTTTCAGCTTTTATTTGTTTTATACAATAAATATTTATTCAAATCTCTACGGAGACATCGCTCGGTGCTGGTGGTTGGTGAAAGTTGACGGAGACACGTTTTAAATATCAAAAAGTACGATAAAAGAAACTATCTAATTTAATAAATCGTGAAGCCTATAACTAAATAATACACAACACATATGGTAGTGTGAGGACAACACATAACTCATGAACACAAATAATACGTAAAAATATTTCAATAATATTAATACATGAATCTTCCGACAATGTTTCTTTATAATATAATACAGCAACCGGTATTATTACACGAGTAATATTGAATTACATACTTTGACAGGATCCTTGAGCTGTCATAATATATTTCATGATAAGATGAATTATAGTATTCAGTTCAACGGATAATAAGTTTAAATGCACATGTTTAATTTGTAATTGATTATGGTAATTTCGTGGACGTTCACTTACCATTGGAGGTGTTGGCTCTGCGAATAATTTCGGCGAGGGCGGCGGACGAGCAATACAACGTTGAAACAAGTGGCGCTACGTACATCAGCGTCATGTTCACGAGGAAGTAGGCGAACTCGTGGGTCTCCGTCGGTAGGGAGCCGTACGAAACGCATTGGTAGTATCTGTAAATTACGAAGTCACGTTTCATGTCGAGCAAACGACAGGCATTGCTAGCATCTCTAAATTGTAATTGCAACGTTTTATGACGAGCCCTTGGAAAGATTTGTGGTTTTTTTTTTTATGTGAGAAAATGGCAAACGAGCTGGCGGTTCACCTGATGTTAAGTGATACCTGCCGCCCATGGACTTTTGCAACAACCATAGGGTTACAAATGCGTCGCCACCTTTAAATAAAGTGGACTCCGTCTACCTCACTCACCAGACGAAACCCAGAAGTGTAACACTTCTACTCTACGCCGGTCTTCTGTGAGGTCGTGGTACTTACCCGGATGGACCTGCCCATTCGCGCAACAGTGAACACTGTTGCGTGATCCTACCACATTCAGAAGGCCCCAGCAACAACTTAGGGGAGAGAACTGTTTTCTTTTTTTTTACATTACTTTAAACCACAGCCGGACTAGGCCTCTCCCACAGACATTGCGCAGGCAGAAATGATAATGATGAGCTTAAACTCAATTATTATACGTAAGACAATAAATTGAAGAATTTTAAATTAGAGGCGAGAGTACAGAACGTAAAGTCTATTCTTTATAAATTAACGATAACGTTTGTCTGGTCCACTAGTCTTATATATAAAAATGAATTGCTGTTCGTTAGTCTCGCTAAAACTCGAGAACGGCTGGACCGATGTGGCTAATTTTGGTCTTGAAATATTTGTGGCAGTCCAGGGAAGGTTTAAACGATGAGAAATTACGGAAGAATTGCATGGAAAATCGAAATAGCAACAATTTTATTTTCTTTTCTAACCTGTCAAACACTTTATGCGTGCGTTCCGATTCCTCTAGAAATAATTTATATGACAAAACAACGTTTGCCGAGTCAGCTAGTTAATATATAAAAATAAATTCAAATTTTTATTATGAACACCAAAGAGTGAAGAGCTGCTAGAGAGGTAACATGAAAATGTTATAGACGTACCGAATTTAAACGTAATTGTTTACCGTAACATTTGATTCGCATAAGTTTATTAACTAATTGAATGAACGTTGTCTTCAATCGAAGAACCGTTACTCTGAGGCACGTATACAATAAATATTCTAATCGTGTCGTTACTCTAGCTTTCAATAGAAACTGATGAAGGTCTGATCATCAGAATGGTATTAAACAATTATTTGAAAGAACAGATGAGGCCTTAATTTAATTTGTGGATTAAATTCAAATTGTAATCAACTTATTTCTGAAGAATTTCCAGATTGTTAAAAGTTGATTTATTCCAGTTATGTACTCTTTCCAATGAAATCGATAAATGTAAGCAAATTAACGCATAATAAATAAAATCTTGTAAAAAAAATTGGATTGCTCCGCCGCTATAAGTCGCGTTTAAACTTTGTGAATAGTTCATGTATGAATAGTATATTGTGAGAACAACTTCGCACTCAATGAGTTTTACAATTATTTCAATTTTGAGTTGTTAAGTTTTCTTTACGTGTTCTTTGGAATCTTGTTTAAGTATATTTATTTGGAAAGAAAATACACGTTTTCTTTTTTAAATTAAACTTTGTTTTGGATCGTACTCTGTGTACAATAAAGAATAAAGAATCTTTAAAAACGTTGCATAAAAATGAATTTAGGTAAGTAATATTTATTGGAGGTGGATGATCGATTTCACTGTGGTAGGGCCACGCAGCAGCCTCGGCTTTTGCACGGATGGGTAGGCTCGTCCGGGTAAGTACCACGACTTTACAGAGGACCGGCGTAAAGTGGAAGTATGACAAATACTTTCGCGTTTCGCCTGGTGAGTGAGGTAGCCAGAGCCCAATTTTCAAAAGGTTGTCAACGCATTTGTAACCCTCGTGTGTAGCAGATGTCCACTGGCGGCGGTATTCACTTGAGATCAGGTGCCTGCTCCGCCTGCTCGCTAGTCAACATTACACATAAAAAAAATCGGTTCGCATTGTTATTTTTTTTATCTAAAGTATGGTGAGCCGCCTAAGTAATACCGCCGCCCATAGACACCTATGACATCTGATGGGCTACAGACGCGTTTCCGGTCATTAAAAAAATGGGCCCCTTAAACGTGAAAGTGTAATACTTCCACTTCACGCCGGTCTTCTGTGACGCCGTGGTACTTCCCCGGAAGAACGGGCACATTTGTGCAACACTAGAAGCTGCTGTGTGCCGTACCAAGTTGATGTATTAAATTAAAAAAAATACATAGTTATTTTAACCAACAAGAACAACAGCAACCTTTTAGCATACAGACCCTTTAACCTCTGGATGCTCTTCCAAGTGAAATATGAAGCTCTGCGGCAAGCTAGCGAAGCCGGCGCAAACCCAAGCCACGATCAGCACCTTCCTCACTCGCGCCTCCCAGGTCACGTTCAGTGGTTTCAGAATTGCGTAATATCTATAACGATGTAATGATTTCTTCTGTTTAAGCGAATATAGAACACGATTTAATAAAGCTGTTTTACGGATTTTATCGCATTTGATTGGTTTCAAAATTGGACGTTAACCAACTCAACGTGTCCCGTGACCACCTCTGTAAAACGGTCGCAACATCCTTAATTTTAAAACATCACAAAAGTTGATTTAAGCCGTAAAATAGGAGTATTCTTTAACAACAAACCTAAAATTTAATCTAATCTATTTTTTTTTGTTGAAATTTGATACCGTTCTCATCCTTTACCAAAACCTTCATTATGACTCGTTAAAAGATATCAAGTATGCTTTTGTATTGTGTGTCTATGAGTTTCATCGTAATAAAATGAAAATAAAATTGTGATAAAGTTATTTTTACGTGATATACATAGATGACTGACACAAGAAGTTTGAACAAAAGTGATATTAGCCCGTAACAGGTTTGAACAAAATGACGAGCGTCGAGCGCATAAAATTATCAAATTAATTGGATCGCCGCGCTGATATTCTAAAAGAAGAAAAAAAGTAATGGGAAGGTTTGCAATTGGAAAAGGCATAAAATTATAAAATTAATTGGATCGCCGCGCTGATATTCTAAAAGAAAATAATGGGAAATCGCAATTGGAAAAGGTAAAACAGAAATAATTCAGATAATTGGAAAACGAAAAACAGAAACACCTCGGAGTAAGATTGAATATAAAATACCTGTCAATAGCGATACATATAAGAACGAAACTTGAGAGGTAGAGACCAAAGGTTCTCGTGAACATCATAAGGCGGCACATGAAGTCCCCCGCCAGCCACTGCACCGTACCGGCCCACGCGATCTCCAGCGGCATCATCAGGAAAGTTACCTACAATTGTGACATGAAAAATTTCATTATTTGTACTTGCAAATACCAGGTTTTGTCCGAAATTTTGTGTGGAAATGTCGTGCTATTTCATCCGCGAGAAACGTTTCTGTTTCGTCCCCGTAGGTCGTGGCGTGATGTAAAATACCCTATATAACCTTACCCAGGAATTGGGCTTTTTATATAATATTACATGTCTAAGTAAACTTTTCATTTTATTTTCACATTTCGAAAATTAGGGCCAAATACATATTTTTACGATATCAATTTTTAAATTGAGCGATTTTTATTAACGTTCATACTGAATATTTATCCTAATTACCTACACACACTTTTTTACTCTAGCGGTTTTGGTTTTACAAATTGATCAGACATACGGATAATCTCAAGTCTCTTTTTTTCCTTAAATACAGATAAAACTATTTTACTGTCGCTGGAAACGATATATAATGAGTGCCGCCGTAGAGCACTCGCACCTTTAATGTGCCCATATTGTTAAAATATGTAGAAAAGTGCTCGCACCTTTAATGTGCCCATATTGCATGTTTTTATAGCGATATCCAATATCCCACTTTTTCAAAATAATAATCTTAAGTGCAAAGGCCTTAAACATGCCCAGTTTGTTCGTTATCCAATTAAAAATATAATATACGTTTCGAGGAAGAAAACTTTACCATTAGATCTGCCACAGCCAAATGCATTAACAGCACGTCCAATCTGCTAGCGCGGGCCGCCCTTCTCCTCTTTAGAAGCTGCGTTAGCACCGTCAGGTTGCCTGTAGCCGAGACTATCATCAGTACTGTGTACACCGTTATCGACACCATGTGCCCGTGGTTGAAGCGCATCTCCAGCGGTAACTCATTGCTGGTGTTCAAATGCGTCCAGTTCTTCTGCGAGGCACCCCCCGGCCCCGACACCTTCTCGTCGATGTCCATCGCAAACTGTACGTCTACAAATCTCCCGCTCCGCGCGCGTACGTCTGAAACCCGCAGTGCGCTCTCGATTTCATCTCGTGTATTGTGAACGGAGTCGAACTCATCGGGTCGTGTCTGAAACAAAGGAGATTGCACGCTTGAGACGCTAAGGGAATTCCCTCCTATTCCTTCGAACGCTCAATCGAAAAAATCAATAACCGCTCTTATTAATAGAACCAAATAAAAAGTGACGAAAGGACGGTACCCAAATCTGTTACAGTTGTCAAGCTAAGCATAAATTTATAACTCGACAAAACCTGATATATCTTTTTGACTCTGGCTTTCAATGATTTTACGCCAATGTTTATCAAATGATTATGAAAATGTCAATATATAAATGCAATCTAGAACAGTTTTTCGTTTAGGTTAGGTCAGTTTAGTAATGTTTATATCAGCTTGAAAGTTGTCAATAACAATACCTGTATTTCGCTCCATACGCGTAATTCAAGTTACACGTCAGAAACATTTTAATTTTTGTAGTGAGTATAAGAATTTCTAATATAGATATAACGAATATGCTAACAAATTTTCTCTGTTTTATATATGTCTTAAAAAAACCGACCAAGTTCTAGTCGGGCTCGAGCACGAAGGGTTCCGTACCATTATCTATAAAAACGGCAAAAAATCATGACATACCGGAGCCCCAAATAAATTAACTTATAATTAACTTAATAATTAACTTTTGAATTCTGCTTTTTAGTATTTGTTTGTTATAGCGGTAGCATAATACATCATCTGAGAAAATTTCAACTGTCTAATTATCAGGGCTCATGAGATATAGCCTGGTGACAGACAGACAGACAGGCACACAGAAGAGAGGTATCGGAGTCTTAGTAATAGGTCTAAGGATACGGAATCCTAATTACGATGGAAGCAAATATTTTATCAGATCAGATCTTAAAGATATGGTAATAATATGCAATTCACTTTCAAACGGATTTAATTTGTGAACTTTGAGAAACCAATTTCGTGAATATGTGAGTATGGAATTTAACAAAGAAATTTCATTTGGGGTGCTTTATCGTATCTAAGCTGTCAATAGGAGTCAGCACCAGAGAGATGCAAAGTTTTAAACCAATTTCTTTGACGAGCGGGATTAATGGAGGCCACGGTAATTTTGTTTGTTGATGACTTGTGGCGGATATTAGTTATCCAACTTCGAGTTTCTTTTGTAGACATTTTAAAAAGTAGATGTTGATTTAGCGGTTAGCCGTATGGGTCTTTGCTAGCGTTAAAATAATCGAGACGAGCCTTGATAAGAGTTCTCAAGCTGAGATGCTACGAGCTACTGAAATAATTATGACAACAGTTCTCATTATAAAGCCATACTTAGGATATTAAATATATCCAATTCTGTACTGCGTAATTAACAAATAAGTAAAAAGTAAATGTATACATGTTTATACAGCTCTCTGCTTAAATTGTTATGTGAGTTGGAAACTCACCGAATCGTGATTATCAATTACCTACATATTAAGGTAAGTTAGCTTCGTTGAGAAACATCAAATCCGGGTGAGCGGGAATGTAGATATATCATAAATTGTATTATAATTTTATTTATTGGAACATAGCCGGATGTTATTCATGATTTTAGATAATGTGCTTATAAATAAGATTTAATAACAAGTTTTATAAACTGCGAGAATATTTACGAGAAGCAAAAGCAACAAGACTATATTAAATAATTCTTATGTTTTTTTTTAGTGCTAATCTCTGCACTTAAGATTGAACATTAAAACATGTAGAAAAAGTACGAAAAGATTGTCGCCGCTGTGGGAATCGAACCCACGTCTTCGGCATTCGCGGCCTGACGCTCTAGTCACTGAGCTAAACGGCTGATAGCCACAGCTACGAAAATCTTAACGCCTTCTTTTTACATTGTTATTTAGCATTTGAAGCAACGCTTGGCGCATCTATTGTTATATCCTTTCCAGCATACAAACAATTTCGAATATCGTTTTTTACAACGATAATTCGAATTCGGTTCGATTCCCACAACGGCGACAATCTTTTCGTACTTTTTCTACATGTTTTAAATAATTCTTTTCGACACATTTTTTACACAGCATATTGAATGTGTAGCAGCGAATTACAAGCAGCGATGTAACAAACGTTAAAACATAATATTTCCAATAACTTAACACAATGTGTTAACAAATAATAAATTTAAAAATAACAAAATAATAATTAAGTTGAACGTGTGTATAAACCAGTAATTTGAATACCTTCGTGTTATTTTCAAGCAATGGCAAAACAAAGAAAATATTTCTTAACCAGAGAATTAATTATCGATCCCTAATAATGTCAAAGGAAATGATTTGATCTGCAAAAATGAATCAACGAAACATAAAAAACCTCTTTGAAATTTTCTCCATTTCGGATTAATTCCTATTTAAAATTGCGTGTGTCGGTATTGGATTTCGCTACATAAATAATTCATAACAATGGCTCGTCGAAGTCGGAAGAAAGTCAAACTTCAACATAGATGTATGATTTAGTTTTCGCAGATTCCGAGTGGAAACCGAGGATTTCGAAGGCAAATCGAAAGCTTGTTAAGAAACTCGTATTATGTATTTAGATTGCCGCTTTAAATGGAATGCAGAATATATTCTTAATAATCTGTGCTTAGTCTTACGCTTTCAGTTATACAGAGCGAATTTTAGAAGGCTCAAGAACATTCCATTTTATTTCGCTTACGCACAAAAGTTCTACAATTCGGTTTAACTTCAAAAAAGAATTAAAGAAACGACTTGTAGTCGACGAGGTCCTATGGTGGACTGTTAGATATAAAATTCTCTCAATAGCGAATGGCAGTAAAAAGTGACTCGAATAAAAATAATATTCTATTACATGATATAATTTATTAGAACTATGACAACTCGAATGGGAATAACGGAGATCATAATCTATTGGCCGCTGTTAAAAATACGCAAAATCCTGATCGATTCGACGTCTTTTGTAATTGTTATTTGCCGAAAAAATGTTATTCTTATGTAAAAAGGTTCCAAGCGAATACGTGGTTTACCCGATGTTAAGTGATAATCGCCACCCATTGACATTTGCAACACCCGAAGGATTGCAGATGCGTTGCTTCTTTTAATAAAGTGAGCCCCGCGCAGAATTATGACGCCCTTCACGCCGGTCCGACCTGGCCATTCGTGCAACATCGAAGTCTGTTGCGTAGCCCTACCACAGTTAAAATGTTAGTTTTTTTTTTTTTTTTGGGTGGATGAGCCACTGCTGGCATTGGAGCCTTTACAGATCCGACGGGCTTGAGGTGGCAGGGCGCTCGAGGCGCCTAGCCTAAACTTCGGTAAATCGTTTACTCTTACACGTGTATTTGTATATCCGATCAGTTGTTGTCATAGGACGGTTTTAAAGCTGTCAAAGCTGTTTTTAATTCTGTACTTAATGAAAAGCCTTATTTTAAGTAAGATACAATGTGAACTTTGTGAAACGGTTCGCTTACCGATAATTAAGTACGGATTGATGATTTGATTACTTGTGGAATGTTGAATTTACGGAAAACAGGATGAATATTTAATGAAAAAAGAACATAGTAAAAAATCCTATGTATATTTTTAAAAGTGGTATATTTTTTATTTTTATTCTTTTAACATCCACCAGAAATATTATATTTAGATGATTCCTTATTTTATATTAGCTGATGTGCATGAATAACTTTTCCACATGTACGCGAATACTATGTAGTGTTATGTTTTGGTCTTGCTTGTTTTGCTATATCTTGCAAAGGCAAATAATATGCATAAATATTTATGCAATCGTTGTGAAATAAGCTAGTGAACTAATATAAGGTCAAATCTCAAAGATAATCTCGCTGGGGGATCACATTCAACATGTACTAAGCAATCAGCATATTTATTAAGTAAAAATTAAAAATATAAATATGTCGTGATAGCTTAGTGTCCGGGCGTCTTTAATTTAACATACTCGAGCAACCTGAGCTATATCCCCGGTGCCGGCACCGAGGAAATTGTTAATTTAATGTTCTGAATTATCGCGTGCTCAGCGGTGAAGGGAAACATCGTGAGGAAACCTGCATATTTTCGCGATAATAACAAAATACAATATTTCGAACATATGTGAAGTCCGCCAAACCGCCGTTGTGCCACATGGTGGACTATACAGCGTACAGCGGAGGCCTTAGCCCAGCTCTTTTACTTTATGTCGTTAACATATTTATACTTTTTAATCGTAGTCTACGGATGAGAGGTTGCTCTCAAATGTCAATAGAATGCGAATATAGAAGTGAACACTTCTATAGGCACGTTGGGCAATTTAGGATCGGGCAAAATTGACATAGACATGTCATTGTCTAGTGTTTTGTCATGGACGTTATACATAATAATTTTTTTTTATTATACATTCTTCAAAAAATCTTTTCCAGTGACAGCTAAGCGTTTGTGAAATTCTTTGCCCCTTCACATTCGACAAGCTAAGTCACTTCTTTCTTTCAAAAAACTATTAAAAGCTCATTACTTGGAACCTCGAGTTCATGCTTTCTATTTTCCTTTCCTATTTTTCCCGAAAATCTTTGACTATCTCATGTGCCTTCATCCGATGTTTTTAAGTGATTCATGTACACCTCCCTGTGCTCTTTTCTTTATGTCTCATTAGCAAAAATTCTTTTCGCAATGGTTGTCTGGAAGAAATCCCTTTCTGAGCGATAAGATATATATATTTTTGGTGTACAATAAAGTATAAATAAAATAAATAAATAATATCGAAACTTTAACATCACTACATTTTAGTGATTTTAAAGTTTAGATATTATTTGGTTTTCTTATATTTGGTCACTGTCCAACAAATTCTTAGTTGTTCGTTAGTATTTTTTGTCGCGCATTTCAAAATAAAAGTTCTATAAAAAATTATAAAATGTTTTATTAGTTACTCAAAATTAATTGCCTTGAATTGTCAGATATAATTTTGTTTGTGGTTCG